GTTATACTGCATTACAGAATTCTTTGCTCCAATATCTGCCTCTCTTGCTTGTCATAAGCTTATTGCAGCTTCTGCAGCTTGACTGGCACCTTGAGCATTCATATGGAAGAGGCAATCACTTGTCTCCCAGTGTCTAGTCTCACCTTCTTTATCTGTGAAGTAACCTTGATTTCTAGTTCCAGAATCAATTCTAAGAGAAGAAAAGGTCAAGATAACAATGTTTCTTCACTTCTCAGAAAGTTCTTGGCCACTGAGGGAAAGTTGCTGCCTTCTGATGGGAGTTGGCATCAATATTTGTAAGCAGTGGTGAGAGCTGGGCCAAGTGCTTGTGGCAGGGATGACCGTGCCTCTGGTCATAGTTTGGTGCCATTTTTGTGGGAGGATAAGTAAGATTCTTTCCTTCTCTCTTGAGCCCACCTCTGACCCAGGTTTGCAAACAAATGTCACTTTGGACAAGTGTGACACTTGGGATCTAACGAGTTGTTTGGTAGAAAACTTGACATTTGAAATTTAATATGAAATACTTGAATAGAAAAAAAAATCCCATGGGTTTTATAGATTTTCTTTAAATGTTCTGTGAAAAATCAACTTAGGTATTATTGGTGTTTGAGGTCTGGGCTGGGTGTTTCCAGGTTCTTGGCCTCTTATTCAATAATGAAATAAAGGTCTATACAGACTGCAAAATGGTGAGAAACTTTACTTAAAGCATAGCAATAGAACAGGTAAGGAATACACGGTCAAGACTGACAAAAAGCCACACAAGTGAAGATACTCAAGGGCCCTGACTACTGTTTGGGGCTTCCTTTTCTGGAGTTCAGGATGAGGAGTTTGGTTGCTAAGGTGCATAGCATGGGCAGGTCTCCGTTTTGGTTGTGGGCCTGAGCTGCTCCAGCTCTCCAGCCCCATTTCTCTGTTCTTTTTTGTTTTTTGTTTTTTCCTTTTGAGACAGGGTCTCCCTGTAGCCCCAGCAGGCCTGGAACTCACCAGGCTGGCCTTGATCACAGAGGTCCACCTGCCTCTGCCTTCCAAGTGCTGGTATTAAAGGCATGCACTATCATGCCTGGCCCAGTTCTCTGTTTCGATTGATAGATTTGGATTATGTAAACCTTTGCTTGTTGTGTAGTCCCCGTCCTATAACACATTTGTTTTTAGTCAAATGCATACCCACTAATGCATAGGCATACGATAGTAAGTAAGGGAGTCCGTTTGGGGACATAGTTTTGCGTTATTGTACATGTACTTGTAAAGTCAAATTTATTTCTGGGGGGCCCACATGCTCTTGGCTTTCAGGCTCACTGGGAGGTGTGCTGAAACCCTCCTTCCACACACTAACCTTATGACAAAAACTACAGTTTGGGGAATACAGATATTTATCTGGGTTTTCTTACAGAGTTTGTGATATCTGGGAGGGGGTTACTTACAAAGCATGGACCCCACCCTCCAGGCTTTTTTCACTACATCTCGGCTGAGCTTCCTAGATCCACGAGCCACTGGCGTGCAAGATGGTGAAGCTCCGGCAGCCTCCCTGAGTTCTTCTGTGTCTGTTCTGAGATCCTCGCCCTCATGCCATTGAAGCTGACTGACTGGGTGGGAAGGTGGCTGTCTCCCTTTTTCTATGGAGTCTCTTAGGGTTCAGACCTCCAGCTGTTGCTAGTTCTTTCGGAGGACATGCCTAACCAACAGTTCTCAAAAGTAGTTCTCTACCTAGACGTAACTGGGAATATGTTTGAATGGAAACTGTCCAAGTCTGATGGTCGTGAGGAGAAAAGAAGCTTATTCCATTGTTTGGAATGGCGTGTGTGTGCAGCCCAATGCAGGTCTACATTTGAGGTTACTAATAGGCTGCCCAGTGCATTATTAGAAGAGGGGCTTGTACCACACTTTCATTATCCATTCATCAGATGATGGACATCTAAGTGGTTTCCAGCTCCTGGCGATTATGAAAAGGGCATCAATGAACATGAATGAACAAATATTTCTGTAGTAGGATATAAAGTCTTTTGGGTATATACTTAAGAAAGTGGTATGGCTGGATCATATAGTAGATTAATTTCTAGTTTTTTGAGGAATCTGAAATGGATGAACCCACACTGAAGGGCATTTGGAGACAATTTGACTCTATAGGCACACACACACGCACACACACACACACACACACACACACACACACACACACACACAATAGATTACATGAAAACGGCCAGGGGGAGTGAAGATGGGGAGGGGATCTAAATATGATCAAAATATATTGCATAAAGTTCACAAAAATCTAATTAAAAAAGAGGGGTGTGTGCAAAGCCCAAGCCTGATAGGGTCCCAAGGTTTCTAAACTGTTCCTTATACTTGCTTTCTCCATGGGGACATGATCATGAATAAACACAACCTAGGGTTCCTGGCTTAGGAGATTTGCATTCACGGGAAATCAAGAGCAGAGCTGAGGAGTGCACTTCAGGTCAGAAGGTCTGGATTCAAAGTCTTGCTTCTTGTATACTAGCTGTGACCTTGATGAGCTGCTTGAGTTCTGTGCATAGTTCTATTGTGTGCTGTAGCTGGTTCACCTCAGCTGAATCACTTGATGTTCACATCACCATTCAAGCCTATGTCCCCTGCTGTCACACTGGCTGTGGCATGAGTCTTTACACCATAGGAATAGGCAAATCAACATTCCCCTTAAACACAGAGTTTCTAAACATTTACCAGCACACCATTTATAAATATCTACAGTGGAACTGACAGTACATACCTGACTGAGTGGATGGATGGAGAAAGCTTGTGGGGAGCATGAAGCAGAAGCAATGACTACATTAGTACATCTCCCCTGCAAACTTCTCTGACTTGCCCTGTGAATTGCATTGTTGAGGATGCTCTCTGGGGAGGGGGAAGCTGATTTCACTGACTCTCACCATTTTATCTCCTGGTATCTCTTTTGCCCTGGGGTGTATTTGACAGCTATGGCAGGCTGCCCTCCTAGCATGAAATGCAAGTTACAATAGTCAGGTGGTCTGGTTCAGATAATGGGGCCATATTGGCATTTGTACAGTCCTAAGATTAAGGTCTTGTTCCATGTTCCTTGGTGTCTTGCTAGCATCATCCAGGTTTGGGTCCTGTGTGTCTGACAAATGCTGTTGGTTGACGACCACACTTTGGGTAGCAAGGCTTCATGCTGTAATCTATGTGGGTGTAATCCCTGGCATCTGACCTTTAACAGCAATGAATATGCTCCCGTATTGAAGTTCAAATTGGATGTGTATATCCACTGGAAAAGAAGCGTTGATTTTACTTTTTTAAAAAGAAGATAACACTGTGTTACATGGACTGGCCTGGCTGGAATCCTGGTTCTTTGAAGATAGTCAGAAAATTGAGTGATAGTACAAGAGCCCTTGGTAAGTACTGGTCAGACCTCTACACCCAGCCCTCCTCAGTTCCCAGAATACCCCACCATGACAATGCAGTGCTACCAGGAATAGTGTCTTCATTCTCTCCTAATGTACAAGTGGGATGCAGCAGGTGCTGTGCTCAAACTAACCACCCCATCGGTGGTACATTGTGTATTTGACCCTCATTTGCCTTCCCCGTTCAGGCTCTCTTTAGGGCCACTGAGGTCTTTCATGACATGTCTTTTGCCTCAGACAGCATAGGCTTCAGAGGCTCCCCTCCCAGAGGCCCTCTGCCTCCTCCCCAGGGCCTGCTTTGGTACACCAGGGACCTCAGCAAGCAGCCAAAGGCCACACCTTCCAGCCTCCAGGAGCAGAGAGAGAAAACAGCACACTCATTCCCACACAGCAGTCAGAGGACTGAAGAGTGGCTGTAAGGCTTTCCCTCTGTGCCAAATAAAGGATTGGAAGCACCAAGGGGAATCATGAGTCTTTTTTAAGGTTGCACTGTAAGTCAGAGAAAAGAAGTAAATCTGTTTAGACAAAAGAATCTTTTCAATAGTTGATCCAAAGGAGTATGAGTGAGTCCACAGGGACACCTCTATTTCACAAGTTCTTTATGGGTTTTGCTTTTTCCTCCTTATGGACTCTTCTGAGTAACCAAGTGTCTTAGTCCATCTTCTGTTGTTATAATAGATTACCTGTTATAACAGGGGTCTGGGGTTATCCATAAAGAAAACAGGTCTGTTTTGGCTCAAAGTTCTGGGTGTCCAAGATCCAGCATTTCCCAAACCTTTGATGGAAAGTTTTGTATTGCCCTGTGCATGCGCAGGAACACAAGCAGGTATTGTAAGGAAAGGAGAGAAGAAAGGAGCATACGCTTTATAACAATTTGCTTTTGTGGTATGGTAACCACTCACATAGATACTACATCATGAGGTGGTGCACCGTGTGTCAATGCCATGATATTGACAAATAAATTTCAACATAAGTTTTGTTGGGGACAAAGCATTTCCAAATTGTAGGGCTGAGTCTCGATTCCATGTGATGGGCAAATGTTGTTGTTGGTGGTGGGGGGGGGTACTTCTGGAGACTGGCTCCTTCCTTTTTCTTTTCTTTTTCTTTTTTTTGGGGGGGTCTTTTTGAGACAGGATCACTCTGTAACACCAGCTGCCTGCTTGGAGTTCTCTATGGAGAACAGCCTGGCCTTGAACTCACAGAGATCCACCTGCCTCTGTGGAAGCTTTTTCTATACTTTCTAATCTGGTGGCATTGAAACTAGGTTCCATGGAACTCTTGGCTCAGGGAAGACTCAATTCTCAGAGTCCAATTCTTCATTTAGAAAAAGTTTCTTCCCCAAGGAAGTTTAGGAGCTCAACACACACACACACACACACACACACACACACACACACACACACACACACAAATATGGAGCCCTGAAAATATGCTTTGTACATACTAAGCAAACAATTACCAACTGAGCTACATTCCCAGACCAATTCAAAATGATTTTTAGAAATTATTTTCAGACAGCTGGGAACGATGGTGCACGCCTTTAATCCCAGCACTTGGGAGGCAGAAGCAGGTGAATCTCTGAGTTTGAGGCCAGCTTGGTCTACATAGTGGGTTCCAGGCCAGCTGGGGATACAGGGAGACCCCATTTCAAAAAGACAAAAAAATTATTTTCAGAAAATAGCTATTGAAAAATATCTTGACTTCTAAGGCCAATGACTCAAAGAAGAGCTTTCAAATGAAAAGATTCCTTATTTCCTTACTTTCTTTGAAACTGGATGTGACTAAAAAAAAGTCCCTAAGCTGGTGACTCTTTCTTATCAGTAGCATGAACCTGATGGCTGGGAGTGGCAGACACTGAGTCATACTGGGACTAGGAGTCCGGGACACTCAGCCTCACTGAGGTTGAACATGTGGGAGTGGGGGGCCATGGTTCAAGGTTGGGCAGGGCTAAAGAAGGCTGATAACTTGGCTTTGGATCCTGACTCTACTGGTTCTTAGCCATGTGACCCTCAGCAAGTTACTTTACCGTCTGTGCTTTTCACCTTGGTAGAGCAAGCAGGCAAGCTATTGTCCTCTGTGGGTGACATGAGAACTGCATGGAGAAATACCTTTAAACCTATTAGAGATGGCTTCTTCCTCTGCCTCTACCTTCTTCCTCCTCCTCTTCCTCCTCTTCCTCCTCCTCCTTCTGAGACAGGCACTGTCTGTGGCCATAGCTGACCTATCTCTGCCTACGAATGCTGGGATTAAAGGTGTGCATCACCATACCTGGTTTAAGAACGCTTATCCTTTAAACAAAGAGGAGCCCTCAGCATTAAGCTGTCAAAATCTGAGGGTGTGCTCAAGGAGTATGCCTAGAAAGGGACAAGACAGGCCACAGTAAGGCAGGGTAGGACAGGAAATTTGATGACTGAGTTGCTGAGGAAAGAGTTGATAGCAAAGGTTAAAGTAGGTCCCACATTGACCTCTGAGGACTCATGATCAGGCACCCTCTAACCGCCAGAAGGAGCTGGAATCTTGGAATGGTGTGCAGAGGCACATGGCGGCTCTGAAAGTTGTGCTTCTCTTTCAAAGCAGAGACTGTTCACCTTTAAACAGCAGCTAGACAGGACACAAGTGGATTATATTTAAATCCATACAAAACTTCTAATAAAAGCAGATATATAAAAATAATAGAATGCAGATTTCATCATCTGTGACAGATAATAAAGCGAATGGTGGCATAGGACATCTGTTAATTTAAATTTCATCATAGGCAGTCATCTGATCTAGTCACAATGCCAAACAACGGTTGCTACTACTGAAACCTTAAAGTTGCTCTTTGGAACAGTAGCATTTAAAGCTGTCTTCTCATACTCTGTAGAATCACAGAAGAAACACTCCTCTGAAAATTGCACAAAGTTTGGTTAAAATCCAATCAAGCCCTTTGAGCATTTCATGGAAATGTCAGCCAGCCATGAAAAACTAAGAAAGGAGACTGACCTGAAGGGTCAACTTCAATAAGCTAGGCAGGCAGAGCTGTCCTTGGCAGCAAACAGGTAACACATAATTGGGGGTGTCATTTTGTCTAGGGCCCATTATATCTGAAAGACCCATGTAAGCTTTAAGCAGTGGAGCTCAGTATGGCAGAGATATGAGCAACACCACACTTAACACAGTGTGCTCAGCACTAGTGTCTGCATAGAACATTCCAAGTGAAGTTCTTTATGATGGGAGCCAGATCTTCCCAGTGCCTGAAGCATGTCTGAGTTTTGGGCTGTGCCCCATAAATTTAGTGGGTGCCTGGAAGGCTCATAAACACACACCTCTAAGCAGAGGCTAACAGGAATTTCCAGAAGGCACTTCTGGCTTAAGGCCTGAGGTCTCCAGCCAAGGTTGTCTCCTGGGACTTCCTGAACTGCAGAGATCTCAGGAGCTCTGGGTTTGGCTAGGCCTCCTGAAGGACACTGCCTAGAGGACTGCAAAGTGGAAGTAGATGAGTTCTTGTGGGCGAAGGCTTGGTGTGAACAAAATGATACCTTTCTTTTTACCTCTGACATCGCTTTCCACCTTCTCAAAACCCACTCATCCCTCCTACCACCAACAGACCAAATCAGAATATGACAATTAGGTAGCTGATGCTTGTCTCAGGGTGAGGATGCAATAGCAAACAGCAGACAAAAAAAAGGAGTCTGCCCGTGATTTACAAAGCCAAAGGTGTTAAGGGAAAAGGCCATAGACAGATACCATATCCAGAAGAACTCTGCTGGGTGAAGCGAGAACTTCTCTACCACTCATACCAGCCAGTACACCTGAGGTAGGCGTTATTCCTGAGACGTTGACTATGGCGGTCTCTGGGAACAGATCTACTCTTTGCTGGAATGGAGGCCTTGCTGGGCTTGGAATCCTCACTGCTGGGAGGTGGTTTTTATTAACCGAGAAGTGGGCCTGTCTTTCTGAGCCTCAGTTCAGGGCAGAAGCAATTGAGACATGGATCTCAGCTAAGAATGGGTTTCTCTGTATCCCTTCAACACCCCATGCTTTCAAAGACTTTAGTGTGTCTATGGGCTCCCTAGGAATGGGGCCTTCTGGAATCAGTACTAACATGAAGACCAATGATTAGACCAGATGTGTCAGTGGTCACCCTCACAGATAGGGTTGTCACTGTAAAGAGAAGACATTGGGGGCCACTGATTTGGGCTCTGTTTGCCTATTGGCACCAGGTAACCCTACTCTTCCCTTCTCAGCTGCTTGACTTCCAAGGAAAAAGGGTGTGCAGACGCTCCCTCTGCTATTTTGGCAAGGTGAGAGAGCTCTGATCAGTTTCACTAAGGAAAGGCCTGCTTCTTTTTATACTTGAGTTTGTGGAATGAAAGCTGTACTTGCTACATGTAGTTTTTACTCTTCTGTCTTTACCGCTCACTTACCATGAGGCAAAAAACAGAAAGCCAGCTTCTAGTCAATACTTGCATGTGTCACAAGTCACAGACTGGAGCTCCATGCTGGGCCTTAGAGCAGTCTTAGAATGCCACCCCCTCAAGCCAACCAATTTATAGGAAAGGCACCAGCAACCCAGCCTGCCGTTGGCAGCATAAGGCAAAGCAGCTAAAGGGAGGACAAAGGATCCGGGTGTCTGGTGGTGAGTATACATTGTGTTAGTCTACATACTGGGAAAGCCCCAGATCCCATTATCCATCCAGGCAGGACTGGCTTGGCCCATGCAGGCAGAGTGTGCCTGCTTCTCTTCAATCCTGACCACCGGTCAATTTGTGAAAAAGGTCCTCATCGAGTGTCTCATTCTGGTCCTTGGAGCGGGTGGACAAGAAAATGTAGCCACCAATGTATTCATGTACAACCTTGCAATCTGCGCTTAGGCATGTGAATGCGATGGAGACATTCTGATCAAACTCGATGGCCACCTGAAGGAGGAAATCACAGAAAGACTTAAATTCTGACAGGGAAGGATAAGAAAGAAGTTTTTCCAGAGAGGCGGCTGCTGGATCTATACCCCACAAACACCACACAGAAAACCTGCGCCCTCTTGTGGTATCTGCTTTGATGCACACCTTGTAAAACATTTCCATCACATGTAAGAGCTAAGAACATCCCAATCACTCCTCTTGTGCAGGGGCAGAATGCTCTGTGAATTCTTTAAGACAAGGTCTCACTCTGTAGTGGATGGCTTGGGGCTCACAGTGTAACCCAGGCTGGCAGCTCTGAACTGCAGTGATCCTTCTGTCTTAGCCTTCCCAGTGCTGGGATTATAGTTGTGAGCAATTATTGCTGGCTTGACTCTTTACTGGAGAATAAAAGGTCTGGCTGAGTTTCCCAACAACCACTGTCATTTATCCTTTCCTAGATGAAAGATACATTCTAAACACCGGAAGGCTTAGGGAATGGCTGGTTCTCATGAGTGTGGAATTCCCATGGGAATGACTTTGGACCTTTAAACTGGCTGTGGCTCAGCTCCCCCTCCCTAAGACTTGGATTTAACTGGGATTGGATGTGGCCTAGAAAATAATATTAAAATGCTTTAAGGTGTTTGATCTAGTCTCCGACCTTCATTTTACATGTGTGCCCATGTTATTAATATCGGCAGGAGGAAGTAAGCATTCTGAAATATAGTGTGGTCTCTCACTGTTCCTCCATGTTTCTGGTTTTCTATTAGAAAAGTGAGAATGTCAAAGGAACGAAGGAGGACAGCTTTCTATTTATGTATTTTGATGTGTTTGTGTGGTGCATGCACATGGGCGTGCAGGTATGTGGCCTGTGGAGGCTGCAGGATACTGTGCAGTGTTTTCCTCTATCACTAGGAACGAAGGAGGACAGCTTTCTATTTATGTATTTTGATGTGTTTGTGTGGAGGCTGCAGGATACTGTGCAGTGTTTTCCTCTATCACCGTCTGCTTTATTCCATTAAGACAGGCTCTGTCTGGCCAGCAAGCCCTGGGGTCTACTTGTGTCTGCCTCACAATGCTAGGGATACAGGCACACACAGCCATGCCTTACTTTTTACATGGGTGCTGGACATTCAAACTCAGATCTTCATGGTTGCATAGCAAGCTCTCTTATTCACTGAGCCACCTTGCCTTTGTCAAGATAGATTTTTTTTAAAGACAGGGTCTCACTGTGTAGCTCAGGCTGGCCTTGATCTCACAGAGATCTGTCTGCCTCTGCCTTTCCACTGCAAGGACTATATGCATCACCACACCTGGCCCAACATAGGTTCATATATCAGCAATAACAATGTGTTCTGCATCTGCAGTAGGATACTAAAGTGCCTGTAACTTTCTCTAGAATTTTCCATGATTGGCCCGAGTGTAGTTTCTAGGATGGGAAATCGTGGCAACTGTCACATGGCTGATGATTCATCTCAGAGAACAAGCTTGTTTTGGTCATCTCTGGGCACCTCAATTGTCCCTTCAGCACTACTCCCCTTAGGGAATGTTCTCTAAGTGGGCAACTGAGCCTGTGGGTTAACAACCAGTTGGAGAACTCAGTGAATATATGAGTCTGTTTTGGATGGTTTTACATAGCAGTTTCATCTACGGTAGTTTCTGTTAAGTAATGATTGTGCTAGATCATATAGACTCCTATGGTGAGCTTATGAAAATCAAAGAGACTGCTCAGCAAGCTTATAATCTGTCTGTATGTGTGTATGGAAGGTCTGCATGGAGACTAAGCCATTCCTCACTATTAATAGAACTCTGGGCCTGGACTTGTTAGGAAATTTTCCAGAAAGGCATATGATTATTTTAGCAGGCAATTACCACATGCCTATGGTTCCTTAGTTCTAAGTATAAATGCACCTTTAAGAACCAGAATAATCTGAATTTCTGAGAGAACAGGGTCAGGTGGGAATTCCAGAGACGTCTACCTACTTGCCGGATCTCCCAGTTGACATTCCATTGCTTCATGTTGGCGAATCTCCACGTTGTGATTGGAATCCCGGTTACCGCATCAATTCTAATCAACCTGTTATATGAAACTCCTAGAATGTCATCTTTTTTGCTTCCTTTAAACCTGAAAATAAGAATATGAATTGAATGAAAATACTGTGAATATTATTATTAATTATATATGAATAACAATTCACATATAATTTCTTTAAAAGTTATTTATTATTATTGTGTGTATGCATGACGTATGTGTATATCGTGCACGTGTGTGGAAGTCAAAGGACAACTTTGTGGGACCAGCTCTTTCCTTCCACCCTTATGTGGGTTCCAGGGATCAAAATCAGGTTGTCAGGCTTGAATGGCAAGGTTTGCCTGATGAGCCGTCTTGCTAGCCACACGTACAATTTCTTAAAGATTACATCATGACATTTCTAAATTATTTCAGAAGGACAGTGAGGGATCTGCTTCTTTCATAAAGACATCCTTCAAGTGAAACTGACATCAGAAGAAAGTGAAATAGGAGGGAGTCAAATCACTTCATTAAAAAATAACATCAGCTGTGTTCTACGGTGGGGGGTAGAGGAGTGAACTATATGGATGGAGTGTTCCTGTCCAGTAGGGAATGTAGATCATGAGTAAGTGAAGCAAATGTGCCACACAAGATCCTAGAAGCAAACAAAGCACTGATGCTGATGGGGAGTACTGGCCCGAGGTTATTACAGTTTTAAATAGAGATGGTGAAGAAGGTGACATGTGATCAAAAAGCTGATGCCTGGAGTGAATGAGCTATGTGGCTATCTGGGGGAAAGCATTCCAGGCAGAGGGCACAGTCCTTGTGTGTGTGAGTGTTCTTAAGGACTGCCAAGGGGCCAGTGTGGCTAACACCGTGAAGAAGGGCAGAGGAATGGGACATAGCTGAGGTCCTGTAGATTGTTGTAAAGATGTGTTTACCCTGAGTCATGCAGAAAGCCTTTGGGGTAGTTTTAAACAGGGTTTTGGCATGGTCTGATTTAGGCTTTACAAGGTTCATTCTGGTCCTGGCTATCTTGGAAAATAAGGCTAGAGGCAGGGAGATCAGGTAGGATCACTATGGTCCTGGCCCAGGTGGTAGTAAGGGGATGTGAAAAGTGGTCAGATCTGTGTTTGTTCTGAAGGCAGAGCCAGTAGGATTTGTCAATAAACAGGATGTCAGTGTAAGAGAGACTGCTGAGTCAAGAATGATGAGGCACATCTATGCCAATTAGTGAGATGCAGAATGATGTGGGGAGGTGTGGTTTCAGAGGGAAAGAACAAGAGTTTTGAACACAGCAAGTTGAGATATTAACTCACTAGATACCCTAGTGCAGCTAGATGGATGAATCTTCAGTTTAAAAGAGAGTTCTGGGCTCAAGACACTCATTTGAGAGTAGTCAGCATATAAAGCCAAGTGACTGGCTGAGCCCTGAGGGAGGGTGAGTATAGGTTGAGGAGTGTTTTAAGACCCAAGGGCTTGTACACACCCCATTCTAAGAGACTGGGAAGACAAGAAAGAACCTGGAAAGGAAATCAAAAGAATTGGCCAGGGAGGGAGGACGGTAGTTAGGAAAGTCTATGGTGTTGGAAATCAAGATCTAGGAGGAGGGCATGCTTTATAGTTAGAGGCTGTAGAAACGTCATGTGGCATGAGGACTCAGACGTAGCCGCTGAATTCAGCAATGTGAAGGGCCTGGGTGACCAATGGTGACCTTGATGACAGCAAATGGAAGGCAGTGGAGTGGGGAGCGATGAGCTTGGACTTGGAGTCGTTCAGGAGAGAAGAGCAGACAGAAAAGGGGCTGGAGACAGTATGTACAACATGCTCAAAAATCCTTCTGGGGAAGGGACAGAGATGCGGGACCACAGAGGATGTGAGGATGGGATGTTGATGCCAGTGTGGGTGTAGAAGACAGAAAAACGTACACTTCCTGGTGGACCAACCACTTTTCATATCTTTATCTCCTTCAAGCTTTGTTTAAAGCTGGCCCTACTCTTCTAGAATTGTTCCTATGTCTTTTATTATATATAATTAATTTTTTGTTACTTTATTTTTGTTGCTTTACATTATTTTAAAGACAGGGTCTCATGTAGCCCAAGCTGATACTCAGCCTGCCTCCATCTCTCGGGGCTGCACAGGTCTGCACCACCTTGCCCAGTTTTAAGTGGTGCTGGGGACTGAACCTAACACTTTGTGCAGTTAAGCAAGCACCCATCTCTCCAGCCCTCAGCATCACAAGTTAATGCTTTGTTTACTCTTCTCTATTGTGTGAAAATGCTGTAGACTGCTCTCCAGCTTCCTGGATGGAAGTTATGATGCACAGGCCCAGTTTTCTTAGGATGGCAAGACCCTGATGCTTCTCATCTTATGCATGGGGGGATCTTCTCCAGCCCGTCCCTCTAACTGGCCTTGGAAAAACTAAACCTGGGACTTCTGCCTGAAGATCTCCTTTCTATAAACAGATTCTGGAAGTGGAATTATGGGTGTTGGAGTTGGAGGGCAAACAGGCAGAAGGGGAGGTACCGCCGAGGAGTAATGGTCCCTGGAGTCTGTGCAGGGCCACCCACTTCCCAGTTAATCACCAAGTGACTTGCACTGTTTCACTGTGGCTCTGTTGGATTTTCTCAGCCGAGCAGGCTCAGATAGCCAGTGATCATGCTCTGAAGGTGAATCTTTGTAATATCAATGCAAATGCCTAGGGCCAGTGCTGGACAGATGGCTCAGCAGTTGAGAGCACTGGCTGTCTTGCAGAAGACCTGAGTTCGAATTCCAGCACCCACATGGCAGCTAACAGCCATTCATAATTCCAGTTCCAGGGGATTCAACACCCTCTTCTGTTCTCTGTGGGTACTGCATGACATGGGTGCACTTACATGTAGACACAACACTCATACACATTAAAAAAAAAATACATCACAAATCACTGGGTCAGGCTGTAAGCAGTTAGGGTCCGATTGTTAAAATGTGGAGATCTTTAAAAAAAAAAAAAAAGCCTAGGGTCAGAAGCTAGCTTAGGAAGAGGTGGGACTGGAAACTGGGCCTGGTTGGCTCAAGTATCCCTGTTCTCCACTGTGTGAAGCTGACCACAGAGTTATAGATGGGTATGAGCATGTGTGTGAGTATACATAAGCACACGTGCACATACACATGTGGGCATCCAGCACAACTTTGTCCTCCATTTTTTTGTGTGTGCTTGGCATGGAACCTAGGGTCCTGAACCTGCTAGGAAAGTGCTTTACTACTGTGCTACATCCCTAGTTCTTGATGTTTTGAGATAACGCCTGGCTACGTAGCTCAGACTGGACTTTAAGCCTTCAGTCTTCTTACCATTGACTCCTGAGTGCCACCTCTCTCACTGTTTTTGTTGGGGTGAGTAAAGCAGGAGTGTTTTTTGGGGGACAGAGAGTGGGACAGAAGTTCAATGAAATGCTAATAGAAGTGAATAGAAAAGTGTGAAGACATCCCCTTGTTAGCAGAGGCAGGAGAAACCATGTCTTTGGAAAGAAGCAAGAAAATGACAAAAACTGTACTTTTGTATATATTTAGCATATCTTAAAATACAAACCAACCTTCCATGTTATAAAATGAGAAAGTGACACAACTACTTGCTGTACTACAGGATTCAGTATGAATTTTGTCTAAGTGTTAGTCCTCTTTACTGAACTTCAAAAGTGGATTTTAAAAAAGAGGACGTGATGGGGCTGGAGAGATGGCTCAGCAGTTAAGAGCACTGGTTGCTTTTACAGAAGATCCTGGGTTCAATTCCCAGCACCCACACGGTGGCTAACAACCGTCTATAACTCCAGTTTCAGGGGAATCTGATGCTTTCTTCTGACCTCCACGGGCCTTGCACACATGGGTGCACTTACATACATGCAGGCAGAATACTCAGACACATAAAATAAAAAAAAATAATTTTTTTTTTTAAAAAAAGGACATGAATTTGGGAGGGAAAAGTGGTGGGGGCATGGGAGGAGTTAGAGGGGGCAGTAGGGAGTGGGCTTGATCAAAACATATGCTTGCATGAAATTCTCAAAACAAAAGCTTTTAAAAAAGCTAAGAAAATATAATTTTCTTTACAAGCATGCTTACCAGCACATTTTGGAAAACCATTAATTTTATAAGGTGGGTGCAGCCCTCCTACTGGGTACAGATTACCAATGAGGACACTATGCCAAGGTGTGGCCCTGACTAGCAGGTGAACTTGCACAGGCCACATAAGCTCTGTTTTCCCATGGATCTCTGTGTTGTCATCTGTAAAAGATAAGATAGCGTGGTGGTGCACGCCTGGAGTCCCAGTACCTGGGAGACGGAGGCAGGCGGGTCTCGGTGAGTTCAAGGCCAGCCTGTTCTACATAGTGAGTTCCAGGACAGCTCGGGCTATAGGGAGACCCTGTCTCAAAAAGACAAAAAAATAATATATATATATATATATATGATAATGGATGGGCTACCATCCTGGATAGCTTCAGTTGTCAATTTGACACACCCGGGGAGGAAGGCACCTCAACTGGGGAATTTTGTCTATCAGACTGGCCTGTGGGAATGTGTGTAAGGCTAGGGTTTTGAGTGATATGGTAGGGCCTAGCCCACTGTGCCTGGTGCCACCCCTGAGCAGGTAGTTCTGAGTTGTATAAGAATGCAGGCTGAGTATGGTCCAGAGGAACAAGTCAGTAAGCAGCGTTCCTCCATGGTCTCTGCTTCAGCTTCTGCATCCAGGTACCCTGAGTTCCTCCCTGACTTTTCTCGAAGATGGACTGTGTCTTGGAAGTGCAAGATGAAATAAGCCCTTTCCTTCCCAAGAGGATCACAGCAACAGACTCCAAACTAGGACAGCCACCTTCAGGGCAGTGAGACCAGAAATTTTCAGAGATCAACATGAACAAGATCTGTACCTGACAAGGCTGGGTGAACTTAAGACAGGCCTTTTCAGGGCCTCTGTCTGGAAACCTAAATTGTACCAAGCCATGTGTGGGCCACACTGAGACACAACAGGGAGAGGGAACCTGACGTTAAAGGGCATCACAGACAGCATGACCTCAGTAGCTGGCATTTGTCTTTTGGTTTGGCAAAGACGGTTATCCTAAAAGAACAGAATCTCTTTGAAAATATTAACGTGTCCTTTCCTACACTGAGCTGAGCTTCTGGGAGTAGCGACACATTGAACAGAAGGTATGGAAGATTTTTAAAGGACAGTCAAAGTGTTTGGCCATTTGTGAAATGGCAACATTCTAAAATAAGAAGCTTGACATTTTATACTAAGTGAGCCACTGGGCTTCCAGAAAGCCATCTGTGAGAAAGTGAGACGAGAGGACCCTGTCATTACCTGACAAGATAGTAGGTGAAGCCGAACTCAGGTAGGGACTGCCACGCTTGGATGAAACGCAGTTTGGCTTCTACCAAAGGCATCTGGGCCACGTTCTGGTGAGCTTCCAGGATCCGGGCTGCCAGCTGAGCAGAAATGGAAGATACCAAATTCTCTTTAGCATTTACCAATTACCAATTACAATTGCTTTGTAATTATTCTGCTAGCTCCAGATCCCCAGGAAGAGCATAAATACAAAGTTCCACTGCTGCACTGCACAGATGGTCCATTGTCTGCACACACACATTCATTCTTCACTCTCTCCTATCTTTATCTAGTCATGAAAATCATTGGGGAGAAGGAGGAGCAAGACCAGTCAACACATAACATACACTTCCAAGGTTCATGCAGATGGAGGGTCCTAGTTCTCTCTGGTGTTGATTCCTCTGGAATAAGTTCACCTGTGCAACTTTTAATCCGTTTTTATAGAAGCATAATTTTAATTCTTAATTTGTAGGGACTAAATCATTTTATCCTTAATTAAATTCAACATGGGACCATTATGGTGCTTAGTCAGTAGTAAAATCATCTCTAACAAAATCAACAGTAATCTCATCATCCAATACCCAGAACATAGTCAAATTTCCCCCACCACCTATTCTTTCATGATGATGTCTTTAATCGAATGGAATCCCTCTTTTATTTCGGATCTTAAGGGGTACATTCAAACAACTGGCTAGGCAAGATTACCTGCTTAGACTTGTGCTTCTTCGCACACCGAGGTGATACAAAACATTCTGGGTTGATGTCCATGCTTTCAAGACTGGAAGTCATCAGAGATGATGAACTACGGTTTTTCATCCTTAGAAATGAAAGGATGTTGAGGACCTCTGGCTGGTAGGAGCTGTCTGCCATGGTTTTGCCCTTTGATGCCAAGATGCAGGCAGCCATCCATTGGGCATACTGATTTTCCTGTAACAAATGCCAGAAAGCTCAGAAGCAAGTTCAAGTGTAAGACCACCTAGCTGCAAGTTCAGCAGAGCTCAGGCTCCACAGCTGATTTTAGCAAAAGGCCAAGAACGGATAGAGAGCTTGGCTATAACACAAACCTATCACCTTCCAGTCAAGGAAAGATGTGAAGCAGCACATGTTGTGAGTGCTGTTTACCACTGAATGTCTGCGTGTCATCTGTACAGAGAACTTTGCATTTAATGTCAATTCAAGGACCCAAAAAAGTACTGTGAGGCACAGACATGAAGCTCCAGACTACCAGAGAGCCTCCCAGATACATACTTCCATTTTCATAACATGATTGATCTCCATGACAAACACTGTGAAGACCACATTTATCCTTGGAAAAGTTTCTAACTCTAAGGAGGCAATCAAGACTTCAGATGGGATTTGAAACAGCTAGTGGTAGTTTCTATTTCTCTTTAATGTCAGTGCCCATGCTGGACTCCAAGAAGAAAACGGGAGTGGTTCTCAGTAGGTAAGGGTAGAGTGAATAGCGGAATCCCTCATAGTAATAGGACAGTGGATTACTGGCTGGTCTTCAGCGTCTTGGAATTATACCCTTTGCCATGTAACTTTACAGTCTACGCCACTTGAGATAGAATATAATTTCCATCATGTTACCCCCCGCTTCTCCACAGACCCATGGAATTTGCTTTGGTCAACGGGATGTATATGGAAGTGACAGCATGCCAGCTTCAAGCCTCAGCTTTAGGAGGCCACAGATGCTGTCGGATGGCTTCTTGCACTTCTACATCACTAGCATTTCTTCCAGGCAGCCTGGGACCCAGAATAAATAAAATCAGCTCAAACTATGGAAGGAGACAAGTCTAGCTAGACCTGTGGTTCACAGCAGATACCATTACCTGGAACATAAAAATCCTGGACAGATATTTTGGATACAAATGCTCATTGTTGAACATCACTTTAATATCACTGTACTGTTTGTTACAGAGCAGTAGCTGGCTGATGTAAGAGTGGTCATATTTGAGAAAAGCACCTAATACGTGGTCCCTGGCTTACTACAGTTCTGCTTAGGAGTCTTCTGTTTTATTCTTTTTATTTTATGTGTATGAGTGTATCACCTGCATGTGTGTAAAGTACACCCATGTCATGCAATGCCTGTGGAGGTCAGAAGAGGGTGGCAGATCCCCTGGAACTAGAGTTAGGTATGGTTGTTAGTTACCATGTGAATGCTAGGAATTGAATACAGGTCCTCTGCAAGAGCAGTCAGTACTCTAAAGTGCCAAGCTATCTCTCCAGCCCCAAGAATATTTTGTTTTATAAGGATAAGAAAACATGATCACATGGATCACTGTTTTTCATTTTCATTATAGAATTCAATACATTACATATGGTATTTAGTACTTTACTATAAGATGGGCTTTGTATTGGGTGATTTAGCCTATGTGTAGACTAATGTAAGTGTTCTGAGCATCCTAAAGTAAGCTAAGCTGGTTTGTATGATAGATGCATCAAATACATGTCTGACTGAATGATAGCTTCAGTTTAAAATGTGTTTATTAGTATTTAATCCATTGTATGTTTTGCTCTTAG